CAAAGGAAACCCTGCATGCTTCCCTTATTCAGCAAAACCAACGTCTGCACCCGATCGATTTACATACATCGCGCAACCATCAAGGCATGTTCCACGTCACGGGAAAATAAATCACCAAAAAAACGCTGTAGCTGCAGCGCAAGACCTTTCCTTCCACCTTTTGGCCTTCAATAACCCAAAATACGACCTCCTCACTCAAATACGACCCTACTCCTCTTTGTTGAGAGCACCGCAACGCACGGCTGATCCTGCTAGGACTGTCACCTGGGTGAGAGTGATTGACACCGTTACTCATCTTGGGTTTCCGTCGCACTTACCGTTCTCTTCTGGTCTCCTCGGTCCGCCGTGAATTTTTGTTGTAGCGCTGTAAAGCTCACAAAAAGAGGCCTTGTAATTTAGAGATTTTTGGTAGTTTCTTCTTCTGTTTTTTCATCACCTGTGATTTTTTCGCACCTATACTTCCGAGCAAAAAACTATGAATACTTTGTAGTAAATTATACCTCCGAGAAATTTATTGCTAAATGAAAACGAGTGCGCATATAGTGGCAACGTCTACAGGGAAATTGTCCTAATCTCTCTGCTTCAGTTCATAAATGTTGCCTGAGCGCCTGCGGCTAACAAATTTACCGCGCATTATTGTCGCCTACGGATCACAGCATATACTTTTGCTTCACATAAGTGTAATTAGAGACTTACTTTCAAATAACATCAGCCGTTTATACAGTTTGAGGCACTTTTTCGGAAGAATTGTTAGGGCTCGTAGAAACGGCCCGACTTTCATTTGTGAAGCGCTAATGTTTTCTGTCGCTTGGCGACGTCGCAATAATGATACTAATAGTAGACTTTAAAGCAGCTCATGCACTACTCCGTACTTCCCCCCCCCCCTAATGGAAATTTGAAAGGGATCGACGTGAAGCCAGTCACAGCTTGGACTTCCTAGCTTTTGATGCGTTTTTTTTTCCCAAAAATATTTTAATAGCTTCAAAATTCATGGATCTCATGGAATGCGCTTTCGAAGCTATTACCTAGTTTATAATTAACTTCCTTTAGATAGAGATTTAGTGAAGATATCAACATGCATTTGATTCTGCTCTACAATTGGCTGTTTTTTAATGGATAGGTCGGACTAGTTTACAGAGGACTCCCAAATAATTATTGATTCACGCACTACGCTCCGTTTCAGAAAACCAGAGGCGCGTCGAGTGCAGACCATACACCACAAGTGACGACGGCCTCCAAGTAATCTGGTTAAGTAGTGGTTCATAGTGATAGCTGATTTTTGGTAAATGATAGTTGTAATTAGTGACAACTGATAGATACAACTGCAACAGGCTAATCATTTCATTGGCAGAAAACATTTACATTTTGTGGAGGCCGTCGTCACTTGTGGTGTGTGGTCTGCACTCGACGCGCTTCTGGTTTTCTGAATTCGGATTATTGGGCTTCACTGGCTTTGAAAGTTTTTGCGGGAGGCTCTCGAACTTCACAGGGTCTCTGAGGTTCTTATTTCCATTGAAGTTATGGAAAATGATGAAATCATATGAAGCTGAGAAGCTGAGGTCCTAAATATATGAGCTCTAATGGATATATGGTACTGCAGTTAAGCTGGAAAGAAATGATGTTGCCTTCGGACGGATCACTTATAAAGGTTTTGGGGGAACTCCCTAGTTGTATTGGCACTATTGTAAAATATTTATGTCACTATAGTCGCAAGAAGTATGTCCAATGTTATCACCAAGTTTCCTCTTCATCTGCTTGTACGTCAGTTCGCCGTATAGTATCGTATTACTATGCATTGCTTCAGGTCGTCGCTTCGTCGACAATGCTCAAGGGCAAGAAGAAAGACAAGGAGGGAAAAGATAAGGTAATTTGAACACGATGAACTAATTCACTTCCATCAAAAGTTTTGTCTCGTATTATTTATCTTTTGATCAAGGCAGAGAAGGATAAGGACAAAGAAAAGGACA